TTGTCATTTCCCATAGATTTCTAGTCCACCAATCCTACTTCTCCTTCTGCGCTCCCCTCCCTCCCCATACACTAGGTGATGAGAAACGATAAAAGGACTGAAAAAATTAGACAGCAAATAATATTTTCAAAAGTATTTCTATCTGACATTGCTGTTATCATTCAGTTCCTGGCTGACATGGTCTGTAATAAAAAAGAGAGAGTCATCATTAACTGACTCCTAATTCTCAGTTTCTAAAGGAACATTACCAGAGAAAATGGGGGAAAAATGTCTCTCTGGAAAGGAGACCATCAAGCCAGGTCTGAGGTACAGCAATGGGACAGATCTTAATAGGGTTTCTCCAGAAAAAAGCGGATCTTGACCTTTTTATCTGCCAGATCAGAACCCTTGAGCACCAACGTGCTCTTGTAAATGGCCCTGGGGAAGTCAAGGGGCAGGAGGGGGAGCTGGTTTTGTCAGATGTTTGCATACCTGAGTAAACTAGGTTCTTCCCTTCCAGAACGTGTCCGAGCATTAGGCATTCTGCTTGCCATTCAAACATCTGTACTACTCCCAGAGTGTGGTATTTCTCCAGAACTGCTTTGGGAAGACCCCAGCTTGCAAGGAGCAACTTGTCTGCTTGGTCTTCAGGAACATTTACCCGCTGACAGCCTTTGGGAGGAGAAAATTAAAAATTTTTTAACAAAGTCAAGAATCATCCTTGAATCTGAGGTGACTTAGGTTATATACCTAAAGGTCAAACTTCTCTACAAGCTCCTGTATTATGAGAAAAGGTAACGAGAAACTATCTTCCCAGTATTTTTCAGTATTTCCTATGGATGTTTCACCATTCTTCCTATCTCCTGACATTTTTTCAATTTTTCCTCCTATAAGATTTTCAACATTCAAACGATTTCTTCACCAAATTCTCACTCTGATATTTGCTTTTGAGACAGAGCAGTCATTACCAAATACATACTCAAACAGAGGGTTTCAGCACTGATTAATGTAACAGCATTACAATGTATTTGCCATCTCTTCCTTAACCATACTGTTTCCTTTTTAAATTACTGCTACAGAGACTTCAGTAATCCTCACAGATTACTGAACTGCCTGGTCTTTTTTCTTGCTTCATGTATGCATTAAAAAAAACAACATAAACCAAGCAAGCTACTCTGCACAATGTGTGTTACTTCAGTTTATCAACACTGGTTAGTATCTTTATCACACTGCCAGTACCTCTAGCTTAATTAAGTTCCTTGCTGCTTATTTTTTGTCTTTACAACCCTAACTAATTTTGTGCTGGCTACAGATATTGCCTCCTCCCTCCTCTCCTCCTCTCTTTTTCCAAATCATTAAGAAAATTGTGTGTACTGACTCTACCGTACCCATTCTTCTACTGGCATATTCAAAAAATTCTAAGAAATTTCCCACCATTGTTGACAGTGTAAGGGCAGGCTAGATCAGAAATACTAGCATGCATACTAGCAGTCAGTATTTTTACTCCCAACACACTAAAAATTTCAACTGCCTTCTTGAGGTTAACCCCAACCTCATTGTCACTGGTGCATGATCATTCTCTCCCGCACAAATATACAAAAAAGCTGATATAGCTTAACTCTGAAAGTTGAGTTTTGCTTTGTATAGTCAAAGTATTACACAAATACTAAACAAGAAGTTGAGCACTATCAAGAGAGAACAGGCGTATGCCACGAAGCAGAACAAGCTTCCCAAAGGGAATTTAGAGACCAGACTTGTCTACCCTAAAACGTGCCTAATACGGCAGAATTAGGATTCGGAATCATACAAAGGAAAGGAAAAAACCCTACATGATGGGATCTCAAGCTTCTTGCCTAATATTAAAACCAAAGAACTACATGTATAAGACAGAATCAGTAAAGGATTACGTGATTCTGCTGTTTGAAGAATATGTGTAGATTAGCACTGAATATGAGTGAAAATTTGTGCCTTAGGGGTTCTTAAAGATCTACGTACAGAAGTTTACCACTATACTAACCTCTTTTTTACTACTAGAAAAACACTATGAAATAGGCAAAATGAGGAAGATACACATCATTGGTTAAAACCACTGGGCATTAGATTTCTCTGAAAGAAAACCCTTCAGAATGTGGGGCCAGCTGGATGCAGGAGTGCTGCTTACTGAATTGTCTTTGAGGAGCTGTCCTGCGGAAATACGTACATTGCCTTGCTCAGCTCCATTTGCAGGAGCTGACAAAAACGTATCTTGCAGAACATCATCACATCAGGGAGAAGAGGCAACGTGACTAGAGAAGAGGCTGACAGATGTAAATGTTTTAAAGAGTTACAAAAAATTGCAGAAGAGATAAAGTTACAAGATGTTACAGAAGTATCTTTATTTCGGGGGTTGTATATATCGTGATGCTGCACACATCTTCATCTCTCTCTTGATTTAAGAGTACAGTAAGCTGGTAAAATGTACTGCATCTAGAAGCACCGCTTTAAGTGGTCCTGGCTGGCTTTAAGTGGTCCTGGCTGACAGCAGGACTTTATATGACATCTTGCTACAAGATGTTTATATAACATGAAAGGTTTATATAACATTTGTCTATATCAGCAAGATGTCATATAAAAAAACTATTGCACTTCTCCACATTTGCAGGCATCGGGGCACCAACGAGGACCACTGAAAGTGATGCCTCTAGATACAACACATTTTATCAGCTTACTGAATTCTTTAATTAACTTAATAACACAGGTACACCTCACCTCCTACACCAGAGAATACAGACGATACCGACAGCTGTACTATGGTAGCACCTAGAGGCCAAGTCGAGAATAAGGCCCACTGTTAAACGACACACAACGAAACCAGCCCGACCCCAGCAGCGTGCACGGGGCGTACATTTTCTCGCCTCCCTCAGCCGAACAGACCAGGGCAGGGAGACCCTTCCATCCGTGTCTGTGCGCTCCCACCCCGGTTAACACAAGCACGTACCTCAGCTGCAGCCACCGCCCTCAGCGGGGAAACGCGCGGGCGAGGCGCCCCCGGGGCCAAGGCCCCGCACCCCGTGCCGGGAGGGGCTCCGAGGGTCCCCGACCC